AAACACAAGTCAGCACCATTAGTAACCAGTAAAGACAATGACACTTTTAGCATGGAACCTACTGCTCAGTTCTTGCTAGATTTCAATTGACTTATATTCTGCCTAAATTTTTGTGCTTATTTTTGGATGGTCAGTGTTCACAGTGTAACCTTGTTTTCCTCCATTTGGTACTCAACCGATGAATAATGCTGATTGTCTGGTGGTGTTAAACATTTGTTAAACTCTCTCCCTGGCCATGACTTTAAGTATCGACCACAGTTTGTGAACTTTAGAGAGAATATTGCAACAGAAGTATGTACGCTAGAGAGAATTTCTAAATGGCAAGGAACGGGAAGGAGTGAAAGCAAATACTGGAATACCTTATTTTCAATTTTAATTTCAAATCCTGTAGTACTTACACAGCTGCAAAATACATAACCTATTCTTTAATTGAATCTTTTTACTGGTTGCTGGCTGTAGGTTCTGATCCTTCATTGAAGTATTAGCTTAAGAAACAGACCTCCGTAAAAAGTTATAACCCAGATCCTCATTTGAATAAATATAGGCAGAAGGTAGGGTAGGGAGGTATCTTTGAAACCGATTCTGATAGGCATGCCTTATTTCTGTCTGACTTCAGACTAACATGGCTTATCATCACCTCCTGGTTTAAACTAATATAATAAGAATCTCTTCCTAAGTTTACATAAAGATGTATAAATATTTTGGTTCTCCATTTGTGCAAGAGTTAACAGGCTTAGCTTCACTGAGAGGTACAGTTATAGATTTATGTTTTTTTTTTGTAGATTTGATTGTTATATTTATCTGTGATTTTTTTTTTCCAAGTCCAAATATTAAATATAAATAGATCTCTTTCTATGCTTTTTGCTATGTTAAACAGTCTTTTGTTCTGTTGTCTTAATGTGAAGAAAATATTTCAAACATGCAGATTTTTGGCACTTTATTTTAGCTAAACTTCTTCATGAATTAAGAATGATATGCAAACCAATTTTATTAGTATACGTAGACATTATAGAGAACAAGGAAGTGAGATGATTACACCATATATTCTACAGTCTGTTGAAGCACCTTTCAGTTTCCTTCTTGGAACAAGGTGGAAATTCTCTATTCTTTGTCAATCCCATTTAGAAATGTTGTGGAATATGAAGCATGCTGTTAAAAGTAAGCAGTGAATAGTTTATGACAAATTAAGATTGATGCTATGTTTATATTTCATGCCATATTTTAGTATGTAATTTGACACACTTCTCTATTTAACCCAACTTGAATCATGGAAAAACAGGTATAGAAGGGGTCTTGAGAGGTTATTTAATCCAACCTCTTGTCCAACTGCTCACAAATCTGTGGGACGCATGCCTCACGCTCCACTCCCCAGGAATGTATACAGTGGAGGGGAGCCAGCCCTCCCTCCATGCCCTGGATGAGCTGCCCGCAGCTCCCTGCCCCAACCCTCTGGTTGCACTTTCCCACCCCAGCTTTGGCCCCCAAGGCCCACAAACCACTCCAGCTGGGCAGTACACCCAGCCCCAGCCCTGCCTGACTCCATCCTTCCCTCACTATGGAGGCCTCAATCTCCCCCCTACTCCCCGATTTAAACTGCAGGGACCTGCAAGAGCTGCTCTTCATGCTGCCTGGCTGCTACTTGCATGTGTGCACAGGCGCATGCACGTGGCACCCCCTGCCTGATCGCCTTCCTTCTGCTCCCCCCAGAGCTCTGTCAGCCTGCAAGGGGAAACCTGCTGTTTCTCATTTTTTTTCTCCTTGGAAGGAGAATATCTGCATTTGTCTCCTCAAAAAAAAAATTGTGTTTTTCTCCTTAAAACAAGAAAACCTGGGTGTTACTGCATTTTTCTGTGGTGTACAGAAAAAGCTGGATCCCTGCTGATAAGGAAACAAATAACTGATCTGGCATTTGTTACTATTGAGCTCTACACGAGGAGCTACTTGGGTAACGTATCATATTAATTTTAATGAAAGAGTTCAGCAAAATGAATTCACCCTCAAGGAAGTGAGTCAAATTAAGGAGTATGTTGCTTTCTCCTGCTTTTGGTAAACTAAGAATTTGATTCACAAGAAACAGCAGTGAATTTTTAAAGCTGAAAATCCCTGGATGTTGTAATAATAATATCAGTTCAATTCAACAATGGGTAATTGCTCAAGAAATTAGAATGTAGTAGCCTGGGAGGTATGAGGCAGTATTCATTTCTAATGGGAATGTTTCCAAATGGTTTTGTGAAATGTAGGTACAAAACCTGCTATTGTTTAATGGATTTAATGCAACCTCTTATCAGCATCTCCTCTGAATTGCATTTCTGTATCCTTTTGCAACATTAGTATTCCGTGAATTTCTTTCCGAGATGATTTTTTTTTTGTCACTTAGCCTCTATCACACCCTGAAGATCATCCTCCTTGCTTTCCTTTCATTCTGTGGTACAGCTAGACTCAAATTAACAGTTCCCAGAAGAACATACACACGTTAATACCAGAAATCTACTTTCTTACAAACTCTTCAATCTTTCTTGACAAGGGCACACATCAATTTCCATTAAAATCAAAGAAAAGATTTGTTTCAGTGGGAGCTGACATTCCATACACCAGTCAAAGCGTTAGCCAGATGCATTGAAAATGATAATATTTAAAGATATATAACAGAATTTTTAAGAAGTAGGATTAGGCATCATAATTCTACTAAACAAATCAGACAGGAGTTTTCTGGATTATAAAACAGTCTTTACTTAATAGAATACTCCTGACTGCATTCTGTGAATTGAATTGCTGGTACTCTTATTTGCTGTGTTATTTACTATTTTATAGAGCATGAAAAGCGCAATAGATTCTTTAAAAATGAGTCTAACGAGGGACCCTTTGCATAATAGAGGGCAAGGGTGTATAGCCAACAACCTGTGGCAGTAACCATGACCCACCATAATTCTTTATTAAGCCACTTCATTGAATGAACAAGGATTTGAAGGCAAAACAGTGAGTCCTGTGTCCTCATTCTGTAGCAATTTGTTATTCTGCACACACAGATGTATGTAAAGGTGATGAGGGCTTACAGCTGATCAGAGTAGATCCCCCTAGTGGGAACTGTTCATTGGAAAGTACACCTTGCACACGGCTCTCGTTAAAGTCCAAGCTATGTGTCCCTGCTCTAGTCAGATACTGTATAAGAGACTGCAAGGACCAAAAGCTTGTGTTGCTTGATAGCTGGGAATACTAGTCCTGGACCAGGTTGCACATTATGCTGGTGAATAAAAAGATCCCTGCCCCAAAGAGCATACACACAAATGCATGTATACACACACATTCCACCCCTCCCCAAATCCCAACCCCTAAAAAACCAAAAAAATCTAGATAAGACACTATTAGAGTTGTTTTGTCTTCGAAGCAGTTTAACATCTGCCTTTTATTGGGATCTGTCTCTTTAACCTCACTTCTAGTGTTCAGAATTCTGAAAATCTGGCTCACCAAATCACAAATGGGGCATCAAAAAACTGAAGCGCCCCAAACTGGAAGACACTTCTAAAAAATGTTTGCGTGTTGCAGGGGATAAAGGTTCAAAACCTCCTGACGATGCTTCATGAAATGTCTACACATCACAGTGAATATTCAGATTGCTCAGACCATGTCATTGCACACTAAACTTACTGACCTTGGTTGTGGTGCTTTCAAGCATAATGGGTTGCTTCATAAATTAGAAACAATGTAGCCTCTTCAAGTGGGTTAATTATCACTGTCTGGTGACAGAACCAATTAGCCCCTGCATGGTGCTGCAAAGAAGTAGCTACATTACTTTCAGTTGAGGAGGTAGCCCACTCAGAGCAGGGCTGCATGCTTGAGGGCACTGTCATCGGGGAGCAATAAGACTACTGGGTAGACAAAGCTTAGGTTTTTTTTGCCTTATCCTAAGATACGGGGGCCGTTAAAGTCAGTGATTTTAGTAGGCATTTGACCAGCTCAGATAGGCAATGTTTTCTTTCAGTCATTTACCTTCAGCATTTCTGTATCCTAGGAGTGCTCTACCCTGGCCCACAGTCCAAATCCAGCCGATGGAGCAATGGCATCTGACCCACTGGGCTCCCTGTGGATCAGAAAATTTGGCAGCAGCAGGGGAGTGGTAGCAATTAATACAGCCACCCGCTGCTGCTGCTGCCAGATTCCTAAGCCCACGTCCCCTTCCCTACATGTGGCCAGATTGGGGCCAGGCTCCCTTCTCCCCGCAGGGCTGGGCCATGCCCCCTCCCCCTGCATGGCCATGTTGGGGCTGGGCCATGCTTCCTTCTCCCTGCTCTGCCAGATTAGGCTGAGCCACGTCCCTTCCCTCTGCGCACCTGAATGGGAGCTGGCCATTCCCCCTTTCCCACTGCATGACCAGATTGGCCCCACCTGCTAGATCCAACCCATAGACAAGGCACTGCCCGTCCACCCCACAGGGCAAAAAGTTTGAGCACCACTACTCTATCCCATTTCAGTAAAGTTTTGTTTACCAGGTCAACTGCAGTTCTTAATATCTAGTAAAAAACAAATAACAAGAAGTTACAATAAGCTCATAAAAAATATAGCTATAATTCTATGCCTGGTCTTTTTCAGTTATTACACATTTAATGAGATCAATGAGCACTAGACATTGAACATGCACCTTTGGGGTGGAGGATATGTTCAAACTTTCCTATCTTTTCTCACTCCTGGTTCTGAGTCATCCTAACCACTTCATTTACATTACATTTTGAGCCTCCTCTGAATCAGCTTTCATATATATTAATAAGAGATAGACCTGAGCTCAGATTCACCAGAATCTCCCTGGTGTTTGAGGATGGTAGCTAGAATCATTTAGTTTCAAGGTCTGGGTTTCTGCTCATGTTAATTGGCATTTAGTTGTATCTAACGTAAGAGTGGAAATCATTTTGAGATTCTTGTCCAGCACTACAGAAATGATATGATATTTGTTGAGATTTTCTTATGAGGTACAGGAGTGTAATTATGTTTGATTTTTTTCTTTTCAGTCCCCGAAGTCTTGGATTGAAAGCATCTTCAATAAAAGAGAATGTGCAAAAATCATTACTAGTTCTAAAGATCCACACAGGTATAGTTGTGGGTTTAGTTTTCTTTTTATTACATTTAAAGAAAAGCCAAAGCTGATATGGAGATGTTGTAAAGTAGTTTGGATATAGTTTTATTTTATACTTTTGCAGTGCCACCATTATGTGAGTGCCAAATGTTCACTGTCACCATTCAGTTAAGAATGTCTTCTAATATTAGGTATGAAGGATGGATCAGATACTATACTCTACTTGTTTTTCTGTATAGGAATGGATTCAGCAATTCTTGTTCATGTGATGTTGTTGGAAGTATCACCTTATGATGATTACTAAACATCCCCTGACTAGATATGATGATAGTGTCATTCGTTAGTTGTTTCATAGACAGTGCCGCTAACATATTTTTATGCTAGGTACGGACATTCAAAAAGTCCAAGGTGGAATCTAAATTACTCAGTTTTCTGTAAGCAGTATAATTTAGATTGGTAGCAAATAGAACACATATTCATCCTTTGGGGAGATGGGGGAGGGCAAACCTTAGACCCAGTTCTGCCATTTTTAAACCAGTGTGCACGCCAAACTGTTCTGTTATGGATATAGACTAGTTTCTGATCACTTATACCAGTAAAAGTGTAATGTCCCTGTCTATACCTGGCCTTAAAGTATAACAATATTGTTTGATGAGTGCCAAAACCTGAAACAGATGATCTTTCTTGGTTTCCAGGTATATAGATTTTAGTCCACTAGCAGAAAGTATGGCCCAGATCAAGAGATGCTACAAAAAAAAATATGATGTCGCTTACAAATGGATAACTGATGCATAGAAATTCTATGTAAATAATAAGGTAGAATCTGTTGCCAGTAAAAGGTACTATCAGTCATAGTACCCCTGACAACCAGCTCTGTGCCAGTTGAATCATAATACTCTTTTACAGAATACTGGAAAGAGCTTGAAGGGGAAAAAATTCAACCTGTATTTGACAAATGGAGGAAAACAAAAATTTTTCTTCTCAAAAGCTTTCTGAATGACCAGCATAGTAGTATTGCAGGAGTAAAGCACATGGGTTCAGTTCTTGAGGTATTAAACTGTATGGGGCCAGATCATTCTGAACACACTGTTTGTGACTAATATATGAAGATAATGACTTTAGCTATGAAATTCAGATTAGGCACATTATATAATAGAAAGCAATCCAAATAAAGCACTCAACTTCTCCGGTAGATTTTCAAAGATGATGAATGCAGAAATCTGTGAGTTTCAGTGTTATTGCTTGAAATTTGTTCACCTACATTTTGTGACTTGTATTATTTACCAAATGTTTTCTTTTATACATTAATTAATTTCTTATTGTTGTGTCTTTGCAGATGTCCTGCTGGATGTCAGGTATGCCAGAACTTAATCAGGTAAGACTCTATTAAAGTGAGTCTGTGCCTTCTAAAATGAGCTAAAGTAAGAATAGGAGTTCCTAATCTAGCAGGAAATAAAACAAAACACTTTAAGCTCTGAAAATGTCAAAATAGCATTTCTGAGGTCTTTTGGGGGAAATAATTATAGATCCTGCTAAAATATATTTCATACTAAGGCTAAATTCACACATGCAAGGAACTATTTTAAAAGTATTTCTCTGGCTGGTTATGTGGATATCAGATAGGAATATATTGAACACCTTATTAGGCAGCTAATTCCAGCCATCTCATGGGAGATGCAGGATGTGAAGGCGGTAGGAACTGGGTGAGAGGGGAAGTGGTTGGACTAGCATCCTATGGGGGGAAATATAAGGACCACTGCTTACATTCCTGCACCTCATCCTCCCCTACCCAGAAGCTTGGATCTATGCCTCCTACCAGTAGTCACAAGTAATTCAGGACTCCTGCTTTGTGGGACCCCAACGTTGAGACATAAAGGTTGTGAGGTCCCTGTAAAAGTGTTTTAACTATTTTCTATCACTTTGGGGAAGAGAAACAACCTGGACTTCATGCAGTTTCGTGTTTTTAACAGAGGGATGGATTTTTTTAGGGAGCTGATTTTTTTTTTTTTTTTTTTTTTTTT